TATAGCCTTGCAGATTGAAATTCGATCACTAGGAATTAACACAATATAAATTATATATAGTTATGTTAAAAAACAATAGAGTAATGCCTGCTTTTATTTCATTTTATTTTACTCTTACCGTTTTGCATTTTTCTCTACTTAAAACGATCGTTTGTATGGCAGCTATATACTATAGTAGTCCGATTTCCATTAAATTTTATGCAAAATTCTATTATTCTATTATTTCTATATACCAAATTTGATGAAAATCTGTTCAAAACTTTTCCGATCGTTCCTCTGGCAGCTATATCTATGTATATATATATAGTCAACAGATTCGATTATATAGAAGAATAACTGCATAGTTTCCTTTAAATAGCTTTCTCTTAAATTTGCTCCAAAACAAATCTCTCTCTGTACATATGATTCTCAACCGGTTCTAACATCCCCGGAACGAAGTGCCTTCTGCCAGCCAAGTCAAAGTAAAGTGTTGTGTTACAAAAGTGCAAGTCATTGTTTATTAGTGTTCATAATTACTTATTGGTCATTGATACTCACTGTTCAGAGTTACTTACTGGCCATAGATACTTACTGTTCAGAGTTACTTACTGCTCATTGTTAATTACTGATCATAGTTGATTACTGGCCATAGATACTCACTGTTCAGAGTTACTTACTGCCCATAGATACTCACTGTTCAGAGTTACTTACTGCTCATAGGTATTTATTGATCATAGTTGATTACTGACTTTAGATCTATAAATCGTCCGATTGTTCCTATGGCAGCTATATATATGTATATATATAGTCCACCGATTCTCCATGCTCCTATTTATATACTAATAAAATTATATAGAAGAACAACTGCATAGTTTCATTTCAATAGCTTGCTTTTAAATTTACCCCAAAACAAACCCCTCTCTATACATATGATTCTCAACTGGTTCAAACATCCCCGGAACGAAGTGCCTTCTGCCAGCCAAGTCAAAGTAAAGTGTTGTGTTACAAAAGTGCAAGTCATTGTTTATTAGTGTTCATAATTACTTATTGGTCATTGATACTCACTGTTCAGAGTTACTTACTGGCCATAGATACTTACTGTTCAGAGTTACTTACTGCTCATTGTTAATTACTGATTATAGTTGATTACTGATTATAGATCTATAAATCGTCCGATTGTTCCTATGGCAGCTATATATATGTAAATATATAGACCACCGATTCGCCATGCTCCGATCTATATAATAATAAAATTATATAGAATAATAACTCCATAGCTTTATTCAAATAGCTTTCTCTTGAATTTGTTCCAAAACAAATCTCTCTGTACATATGATTCCCAACTGGTTCAAACATCCCCGGAACGAAGTGACTGCTGCCGGCCCAGTATCAGATATGTGTTGTGTTACAAAAGTTGCAAGTCATTGTTTATAAGTGTTCAAAGTTAGGAACTGATTATACATACTCACTGGTTATAGATACTTACTGATCATAGTTACTTAATGTTTATTGATGCTTACTGATCAGAGTTAATTACTGGTCATAGATACTCACTGTTCAGAGTTACTTACTGCTCATTGTTAATTACTGATCATAGTTGATTACTGATTATAGATCTATAAATCGTCCGATTATTCTTATCGCAGCTATATATATGTAAATATATAGACCACCGATTCGCCATGCTCCGATCTATATAATAATAAAATTATATAGAAGAATAACTCCATAGCTTTATTCAAATAGCTTTCTCTTGAACTTGTTCCAAAACAAATCTCTCTCTGTACATATGATTCCCAACTGGTTCAAACATCCCCGGAACGAAGTGACTGCTGCCGGCCCAGTATCAGATATGTGTTGTGTTACAAAAGTTGCAAGTCATTGTTTATAAGTGTTCAAAGTTAGGAACTGATTATACATACTCACTGGTTATAGATACTTACTGATCATAGTTACTTAATGTTTATTGATGCTTACTGATCAGAGTTAATTACTGGTCATAGATACTCACTGTTCAGAGTTACTTACTGCTCATTGTTAATTACTGATTATAGTTGATTACTGATTATAGATCTATAAATCGTCCGATTGTTCCTATGGCAGCTATATATATGTAAATATATAGACCACCGATTCGCCATGCTCCGATCTATATAATAATAAAATTATATAGAAGAATAACTCCATAGCTTTATTCAAATAGCTTTCTCTTGAACTTGTTCCAAAACAAATCTCTCTCTGTACATATGATTCCCAACTGGTTCAAACATCCCCGGAACGAAGTGACTGCTGCCGGCCCAGTATCAGATATGTGTTGTGTTACAAAAGTTGCAAGTCATTGTTTATAAGTGTTCAAAGTTAGGAACTGATTATACATACTCACTGGTTATAGATACTTACTGATCATAGTTACTTAATGTTTATTGATGCTTACTGATCAGAGTTAATTACTGGTCATAGATACTCACTGTTCAGAGTTACTTACTGCTCATTGTTAATTACTGATCATAGTTGATTACTGGCCATAGATACTCACTGTTCAGAGTTACTTACTGCCCATAGATACTCACTGTTCAGAGTTACTTACTGCTCATAGGTATTTATTGATCATAGTTGATTACTGACTTTAGATCTATAAATCGTCCGATTGTTCCTATGGCAGCTATATATATGTATATATATAGTCCACCGATTCTCCATGCTCCTATTTATATACTAATAAAATTATATAGAAGAACAACTGCATAGTTTCATTTCAATAGCTTGCTTTTAAATTTACCCCAAAACAAACCCCTCTCTATACATATGATTCTCAACTGGTTCTAACATCCCCGGAACGAAGTGCCTTCTGCCAGCCAAGTCAAAGTAAAGTGTTGTGTTACAAAAGTGCAAGTCATTGTTTATTAGTGTTCATAATTACTTACTGGTCATTGATACTCACTCTTCAGAGTTACTTACTGGCCATAGATACTTACTGTTCAGAGTTATTTACTGGTCATAGATACTCAATGTTCAGAGTTACTTACTGCTCATAGTTAATTACTGATCATAGTTAATGACCGGCCATAGATACTCACTGTTCAGAGTTACTTACTGCTCATTGTTAATTACTGATCATAGTTGATTACTGATTATAGATCTATAAATCGTCCGATTGTTCCTATGGCAGCTATATATATGTAAATATATAGACCACCGATTCGCCATGCTCCGATCTATATAATAATAAAATTATATAGAAGAATAACTCCATAGCTTTATTCAAATAGCTTTCTCTTGAACTTGTTCCAAAACAAATCTCTCTCTGTACATATGATTCCCAACTGGTTCAAACATCCCCGGAACGAAGTGACTGCTGCCGGCCCAGTATCAGAAATGTGTTGTGTTACTAAAGTTGCAAGTCATTCTGTATAAGTGTTCAAAGTTAGGAACTGATTATACATACTCACTGGTTATAGATACTTGCTGATCATAGTTACTTAATGTTTATTGATGCTTACTGATCAGAGTTAATTACTGGTCATAGATACTCACTGTTCAGAGTTACTTACTGCTCATTGTTAATTACTGATCATAGTTGATTACTGATTATAGATCTATAAATCGTCCGATTATTCTTATCGCAGCTATATATATGTATATATATAGTCCACCGATTCGCCATGCTCCGATCTATATAATAATAAAATTATATAGAAGAATAACTCCATAGCTTTATTCAAATAGCTTTCTCTTGAACTTGTTCCAAAACAAATCTCTCTCTGTACATATGATTCCCAACTGGTTCAAACATCCCCGGAACGAAGTGACTGCTGCCGGCCCAGTATCAGATATGTGTTGTGTTACAAAAGTTGCAAGTCATTGTTTATAAGTGTTCAAAGTTAGGAACTGATTATACATACTCACTGGTTATAGATACTTACTGATCATAGTTACTTAATGTTTATTGATGCTTACTGATCAGAGTTAATTACTGGTCATAGATACTCACTGTTCAGAGTTACTTACTGCTCATTGTTAATTACTGATCATAGTTGATTACTGATTATAGATCTATAAATCGTCCGATTATTCTTATCGCAGCTATATATACGTATATATATAGTCCACCGATTCGCCATGCTCCGATCTATATAATAATAAAATTATATAGAAGAATAACTCCATAGCTTTATTCAAATAGCTTTCTCTTGAACTTGTTCCAAAACAAATCTCTCTCTGTACATATGATTCCCAACTGGTTCAAACATCCCCGGAACGAAGTGACTGCTGCCGGCCCAGTATCAGAAATGTGTTGTGTTACTAAAGTTGCAAGTCATTCTGTATAAGTGTTCAAAGTTAGGAACTGATTATACATACTCACTGGTTATAGATACTTGCAGATCATAGTTACTTAATGTTTATTGATGCTTACTGATCAGAGTTAATTACTGATCATAGTTATTTACTGGTCATATTTGTCACCTATTTTATTTATTTATTTTTAACCTATATAAGGTTTAGTTAGAGAGACATTTAATCGATGCATGGTAGGTTTACAAAATGTATTTATATATCTTGTCAAATTTAGATTTTTAACATTAACAAAAAGCATATAAGTTGCTCTACAACCTGTAAATATCTATATAACGCTCCCTCTTAATTGTATTGCTATATTTTTTGGATTAATAAACCTCCCTCCAAACCTCATTTCAAAAGCTATTACCAACATTTTTGGCGATGAAAGTGATGCCCTCATCCTGGCCTCGACGAGTCATCTTCCCTGCCCAAGTGCCGCCTCAGAGGGTTAATAAAAATACCAGGTCACGCTTCTGGGGGGCGAACTTAATGCCAAAGCATTAGGAGAGCTGGCGAAGCCAATACAATTGTAACCCTTGGCTTTGTTATGAGGGCATTAAATTCCAATTACACGTTAAGTTGCCGCATTAATGGCCAAGTTAATGCACTTGCAACTGCCGTTAGCCCCCCCACTGGGGGCGTGGCAAGCAAATACACCCCAAAAAATGACAAAGCACCCGAAATACATTACGTTATTACATTTATATTTATATAAGTATATGCATGCAGTATAAAATGCTTTGTACATGAATTGGTGTTGCTGATGATGCTCGAATGCTCTTTGTGGATGAGTGTACTTGTGTTTGTGTTGCTCCCTGTTGTTGATGTTGTGTGTATGTTAAAAGGGTGTTAATCTTATGATTGGTAAGTCAAATGGGGGCTTAAAGTCATAATATGCACGCGGCAATTGCTATTCTCGCTTAGGATCTAAAGTTAAGATTACAATGAAGCGGTTAGTCCCAGTGCCTTGTCAGTAAATTCAGGGGATAGTGGTACGTGGATCGTGGATCTTTATAGCCTATTGAGTGTATTAATACATAGCTTCAAGCCAAGCTTGTGATCTTGCTTTTTTTGTGGCGAATGCTTTTGGTCTTTGCTTTTCTAACGTTGGGTTCTTTGTTTGGGGATTGCTTAAACAATGTTGGGTGGGCCTCGTTCGGCCTGTATTCGAACTAAAGTCTGGTTCTGTTTCTTGACATCACATTGGTTCATTCACAGAAATGGATCCTAGGGATCATAGGAGGAGAGTGGCTTAGTTAGTAGCAGCACCAGCTGGGCCGCTCCACCTCTCCAAGCGCAATATGCTCGATGCTCCACGGCGCCGTCTCCAGCCTGCCCACGCCATTGGTCTTCACGTCTTCGCCCTCGACCGTCAAGCCAATGTCCACATAGGGCAGCCGGAAGGCCGCATTTCCGGGACTTCTGGCCAAGGCAGCCACCGTGTGACTAAAGGCAGTGTTGGTGTTGGTGTAGGCTAGCGAATCCGTGGACTCGAAGGAGCGCAGCGACGGGCTCTTGCCCTCATCTGCCAGTCGAACTAATCCCTGAGCCGTTGATATGAAGACCTGTTGCAGGCCCTGATCCGTTTCGGTGGAAGTCTCAAAATATGTCGCTCCAATGGAGGTGGCAAAGACGAAGGCCTCCTCACGGGACACTGCTCGCTGTGACTGCATATCCATCTTATTCCCCACCAGTGTCAGTATCATGGGATCCTGTACGTTGCGATGCAGCTCCTGGATCCATGACTTGATCTCCGTGAAGGTCTTGTACTGCGTCAGATCGAAGACCAGAATGGCAGCATTGGCATTCCTATAATACATGGGCGCCACGGCCCTATATCGTTCCTGGCCAGCCGTATCCCAGATCTGCAAGAGAGGAAAACAAGTGTTAAAAGTATTTCTGACTAACTTTTCCTCTACATAAATGTATCCCTGTGCCCTGTGGTTAGAGTTCGTTCCCCACTTGAACTTTAATTGAGCCATTCAGCGCTTATTCCGCAATTGTGCTCTTTATGGCCGCGCTTTCCCACAGCAATAACAATCATATTGGATGTGGGATCTGCACTTCAGGTCTGGAGAAGGGACTTTTCTCTTCTTTATGCGCTGGATAATACAAATTTTTGGGGCAACGACATGTTCATTGGCGAAACTTAATCGAAGCAGAGAGACACGGGGACAAAGAGCTTCGAATCTATGCGATATGCGAAACAAACAAGCAAAATCTGCCAACTATATCCCCATTATGTATTCATACTTATTGTCCACAGACACCACAGACGGGTGCTTCTGCTGGTCTGTTGACTCTGACACATTGGGATTGATGGGACATTCTTCTTAAACCATTTTAAATGCATTCAAGTTTAAAATTGAAGAAGAAAATGATTTTTTTTTTAAATTATAGGTTTTAGTAGATAGATGTAGCAGAAATTTGCTTAATAAATAAGAAGTTAGGTCTCAATGAGAAAGATTTCATAATCTTTTAGACTTTTGTAAGTTTTAGGTTCATTTTTAAGTCAAATTACTTGAACAGTTCGTTTAGAAACATGATTTTTATATACAAAACCCTTCAAAACTCGACTCTATATATATTCCCGCACACCTGGGTTAGAGTTCGCCCAAGTACACCCACATCTAGTTATTGTAAAAGCCATTATTTTATGTATGTTGGTCTGCGTATAAAAAAGCGAAATCATCCAAGAGAAAATAAGGCAGACAGGGCCAAAGGGGTGGCTGTAACCCTATCATCGCAAGGGGAATCTGCTGCTGCTGCTGCTGCTCGCGCTCAGCTTATCAATAAACTATAAAAAAGAGGGAAAGGCGTGCTAAAAAAGCACAAAAATAAACAAATAACACACAAAGTGCAGTGGACGCAGAAATTGCAAAATAAAAAACAAATAAAGTGACCGAAACAGTGGGGAGGAGCGGACCCAACCCGACCGGACCGGACAGGACAGGACAGGACAAATAAAGGACCCCGTGGCACTGCCAGTGGCAGAATAAACCCAGATTAGCGTTCCGGCAGCCAAGCTGGCAAATAGGATTAGTGGAAGAGGGGCGTGCCGGAGCGGAGGCAAATTCCTTTGGCTTTGGCTTCGGCTTTTTTACGAGGCAATTCCATTTGCGTTGGCGCCTCTCCCACCCGTTTCCCAACGAGTAGTTGGTTGCAGTGATATTGACATGTGTTTGGGGCATACGCACTTGCAATTTAATTTTGACCTCCTCCAGGATGATGTTGCACGTGAAAAAGGACACGGCTATCGTTGGCACTTCGCTTTCGCTGCGGTGTAGGGTATTCTTTATATACCGGATGACCAGACGGGTTTTACCCACACCTGCAAATGGGGAAATAAATATTGTTTTATCATATATATTTATTTAATTGAATTATAATATTCAATTGAGCTTAATAACAGTTTGATAAACATGAAAAATTGGACTGACTTCATGCACGTTGGCTCACTATTTGTTTATAATCCCTCACAACTTATCACCTTTTTTACAGCGAACGCGCCACAGCGCACGCATTAATTGACCACTGATTAATCATGGCTAAATAAATAAATGGAAAATAAATGAAACAACAAACAAACAAAATTGGAGACGCACTAGGCGAGCAAAGGTGGTAAACACTGATAAGGAAATCGCGGAATACCAACTGCAAAAGTCTTTGTTTTGCGGCTCGGAAAAGCCCCTTACTTCTCAGATATCCACAGAGTGTTATATGTGCTCTGAATCATCTTGGAAGGAACAGATTATATGCAATTATATGTCTGTGCCTCCGGAAAAAGTAACAACTTATCAATCTGTGGATTCCTTTGTGGCGAAAATTAAGCTCATCCACTTGAATATGTATGGCTTATTCGGTGTGAGTGTCTATATCCACAATAATGTACATACATAGGTGTGTTAGGTAAACGTTGACCTTGGGGAAGCAATTTAAATATTGACATTACAAATGCAACAGCCGATAGGAGTCAGAGTTTGTGAAATTTTGCTAAAAACAGAGACAGTAGAGACTGCTTAGGGGGAATTAGAAGCAGAAAACTAATTGAATATATGTCAAATTGAAGACTTACATATATATAACATATATTTTAAGTAAGTTATTAGCAATATAAGTCGAATTAAACTCAGAAAATGATTTTTGAAACGTTTAAATATTAGAAATGTATTCTCGACATTGTTGTGTGACCCCAATTTAGTTATTGAACCTGATAACACTTAATGGAACCTTAAATACTATAGTCTTTCAGCTTAATCTGTTCATTTTTAATATGAAAAGATAAGTTAATCAATAGAATCCAAATTAATAAGAAAATCGTGGAACTTTTAGAAATTAGAAAAAACTAATCTCTAAAGAAATCACAATGAAAGGCACATCATCTCTATTATTCTGTAGCTTCCTCCTGTATATATGTTTCCATAAATGTTCCCTGTAGGCAGTGCCACCTGTCTAGCTCAAGCCATGGAATGCATCGTAGAGATAACACAAATCCAAACCAGACTAAGGGGCAGGAGCTCTCCCACATTAAAGCCTTTCGGTTACTCATTTGCAGGAAGCTTGCAGATTTTAAATTCCGTTTGTGGGACTTCCCCCCTATGACCAGTTCAAGGCTGTGACTTATCGGCTCTCTCTCTCTCTGTGACTCTTATCAATTGCAGCAATAAGAATTACTTGCATTATGCGGATCGCTGGCATTTAATATAAATGAAAGGCACAGAGGCATTTAATGAATGGCCAGGGTTTTCTGTACTCACCTCGCGAGCCCAGTACCACCACTTTGCCCTCAATTCCGCGCATCTCGCCGAGATTAGCGGAGTAATCGCATTGCTAGGTGACGTTTTCCGTAGATTTATGTGGTCAGCGCTGTTGTTGCCTCCTGTTGCTGCTTTTGTTGTTATTTTCTGGCTTAAAAGACCACTTGCTGAATTTTGTAGACCAATTAATTGTGGGTCTTACTGGGCCTGCTGTGTATGGTGCGCAAAGATAGAAGAATTAATAAAATTTGAGACTTGTTATTGTTCGTTGTTATACAGCAATCAGCTGATTACCAGGGACGCAGCATTGTGTGTTACTTTCCGATATTTCCGATAGTTGCTCCGAGGCCATATTTTATCGATACTTTGGTATTGTGTCCTCGGCTCCCACACTATATGAAAACTATCGCATTGACCTGGAACAATTATCCGAATGTATGCATGATTTTTTATAAAGTATAAGAATTTAAAAATACTTAATATTTGGCACGAATTTTCAAAGTAACGCAAGTGTTGGACAACGACCAATAAAATTACGGATTTTTCTCTCGAAGGCATCTGGTCACACTTAGTGGCTCATGAGTAGCTCACGATGGTGGGGCTGCCGGACCTCATCTAGGGCCCGAAATTTGAAAACTTAACGTAATTTTGTAATGAAAAGAATTCTGTTTAACTGACCGCGTCGTTAGTTTTTAATAAATTTAATGAATTATTCAATTTAAAGTAATGAAGCTCAATTAACCGATCTCTAGCCACCCACTTTTATTTCCCATTAATTAATGAATAGTTTAAATTTTAACAAAAAACAATTTATGAGCATTTGTTTGTGTATGTTTATAGCCAAGCCATTTTTATATATTTTTCTTACACATTTGATTACAGTTTACAGCTTACAGTTAACAGCTAAAATGATTGCATTCGAAATTGTTTCGTTTACACGGATCTATGCGCATCTATTGTATATATTTAGCTAAGAATCAATCAATTTCTTTAAATATTGGAGATTAGGCTTTATTCGTTACTCGTTTTGTTATTTAGTTCGCTCTTCCGCGTTCTCCCGTCCCCGTTCAGATCCATCTATAAGGCTCACCGTCTCCAGCGTCGGAACTTAATTTTGAATCTAATTGAATTTGAATTTCAAAGAGAGATTAGATCGCAATTGCTAAAGCTAAAGGCTACTCGGGCGATAAATACAGCACAGAATAATCCGAATATATATCAATATCAACGACAATTACAATTACAAATTACAAATTACAAAATTACACAATTAAAGACGAATGCCATCAACTCAACGATTAAAACTGAAACAAAGGCAAGCGCACAGAAGCAGCATTTGACGGCGGACGACAATTAACACATGCATCTGCGATCTGTTTCAACAGTTTTGCGTAACAACTAAAACACTAAAATTAAGCTTTAATATCTAACCAGCACCCAGCACCCCGTGGCGTCGTCCCGCCGGAAATAGCGCGGCCGATTGTCCCTGAAGACGGTGACGGCGGGGAACTGGTTCTCCTGGATGAACTTGATGGTGGCACGCGTCTGAAAAAAACAGAACAAACCAAATGTAACAGGTTGCTGAGTATTCTCTCCACCCTATCTGCCAGCGGGGGATTCACACGCACACACACCTGGGGCGCGAAATGTGGCGGCTCGACATCGGGACTGGAGGACAGGTGCTGCAGCAGAAACTCATCCGTTTGGGAGAGCCACAGATCGGCGCCACGCAACGGATCATAATTGAAGGGTCCAATGCGCAGCATGCCCAGAGAGGAGTCATACACATCCAGGACCTGAAAATGTCATAAACAGCATTAGTTTGATGTTTCCCATGAGGAAACGAAGGCTTTTCCACACTCACCGATTGCGCTCCCATGAAAATGCGTGCATCACGCAGCTCCCGATCGGGTCCTCGGTCCGGGAAAGTGGCCGGAAAGATCTCTCCAGTCTTGATATTCACGCCCACACCATAGATAATGGGGCAGTTGATTTCGCCGCGCATCATGGTGTTTAGATCACCCACGCAAGCCTGCGTCAGATCGATCTCGAGATGGTGGTTGTGGAATGATTCTGTGAAGCCAAAAACAGAGGGTTATATTATATATTATATTTCCCGCCCTAATCCTTTCCAAATCCCTTCTCAACTCACGCATGATGCTGAAGAAGACCTCCTCGCCGTAGTTATTCACATCCCGATAGCCACCAATCAACTGCAACTCGATGCGACCCTCTGGATAGCCCACGGCCAGTTCCTGGACCCTTGTTACCATGGTGCCCACAGCCTCGTCCACGCCGCTGCCATCAAAGTGGGCCAGAGCCACGGCGCCTGATCCTGTCGCGTGAAGAGAACCAAACCAAAGGTTAATTAGCCAAATGAGCCAAATTTATGGGAAATGGGAAATGGGAAACCTTACCGGAATGCCGGACCACGACGATAATACAGGTGGTGGCATCGTCGGCGCCAATGATGTTGACGTGCTTGTCGTGCGGGGCGGAGGCGGCCCATTCCCGCTGGCCAACGTAGAGCAGACCCACCGGACCCACCGACTTGGCCTGAATGGAGTGCAGCTGCTGGGCGTAGTCTCTGTAGACGGGATGCTGCAGGAACAGGCTGTTGGTGTTCATGGGGCAGTCGTCCTGCAGCACTCCGTTCAGCACGAGCACCATCCTGGCTGTCGTCGCTTCCTTCCAAGGGTTTCGATTTCAATTACGCGTAGATTGTCTTGGGCAAGACAAGTAGCAGGCAACTGCAAAAAACGAGACACGGAATGAGTTAGAATCGAATGGCAGCTGGGATATGTCTACTGCATCGCCTCCTTGGCCAGCACAGAAGCAGCGGCATAAAAATCAATTTACGATGCCCGCAACCGCAGCAACCAACCGCAGCAGATTTGCATGTTTGATAATAATTTCATGCAGTCAGCCGCCGTACGGTCCAAGAAATATGTTTACACCTCGATTCTGATCCCTCCTCCTCCTCCGCTGGCTGACTCGTAAATTTCATTCAGCTCGCAAAATAAAAATGTCAAAACTTGGAGCCCCGGAGGCTGATTCGATTCCCTGTTTCAGTTTAATCCAACAGAGTTAACTCACAATGGATGCCCTGAAATTGGTTCGCACACAGAGAGAACTTTTCTTCATTGGGAGTTCGAAAAAATATAATCTGAACTGGTGACGCTGAATATGTATGTAGTTTAAGCGTTACGCTTCTTATTATTTATTGGTGCTGCTGTGATTTCTGATATATTCATAAACTAATTAGACATTTTTATGGGATCGTATCGGAAAAGGATTATAACTAAGCCTAAAATATTCAAATTCTTTGAATCTATATTTTTAAATAACCATTTTTTCGAAAAATCAAAATTTCAGAAACTAATAACTAAGCCAAAAATGCATTAATTTCAATTCGGAAAGCTGTCCCATGCTAGTTTTTATGATATTTATAAATCTGCATTTAAAAAATACAATTTTAAAATTATGAATTTTTATTCAATTTTTCCGATTGCAATTTAAGGTTTCAAACATTAAAAAAAAGTCGAAAAAATTGGTACAATTTTTTTATCGTCCGGAGGTGGCTAGATCGACTTGGAATTTGATTCTGATCAAGAATATATATGATTTATAGGGTCGGAAATTACTACTTCACCGGTTATTACATAAAAACACATATATTATAGGAACTGCAGACCAATATTTTGTTATATGATCATTTTTTGTGAAAACAGCAGTTTTTAAAATATAACAACGAGGCCAAAAATGCATTAATTTCATTTTGGAAAGCGTTTCTATGCTAGTTTTTACCAGGTTAATAAATCTGCATACTCAGTATAAAGCTAAACAATTTTTAATTTTTTGCCAATTTTTGACAATATTAACCATGTGAAAAACTCCATAAAAAATTCGAAAAAAATTAAAAAATATTTTGTTCTCCCTAAGATGGATAGATCGATTCGTTTTTTAATTCTGATCAAGAATGATTTATGATTTATGGGGTCGGAAATGGTTCCTTCACTGTTTTTGAAGCTTTTGACTAAAATTAAAATATCCCGAAAGGATATAGAAATGAAGAAACACGTAACCCCCTAATGGAGCATTAAAGAACTAGCTTTTAGCTCTCCATAGACACAATTGACACAATTTGTTGCTCCAAGCAGAGGCGTTTCCCAAAGGGGGAACCCAACTGGGGACTCGTGCTTTGTGCTCTGTGAAAATCTAATAAAACAATTAGAAGGCCATCCAAAGGGGTCATCAATTTACGGAGTGATACCCACTACCCTTATATGGTGGCGCTGGGCAATTGAGGCAAACACTTGAAGTCACAGATGTCACACGAAAGTTAATAACCATTAAGTGGCGGCGACAGCGAATTAACCACCAAATGAACAGCAAATTTAATAGAATTTAATAATAATAATAATGGTGAGTGTCGGGCAGGAGGAGTAGCACCCTGTTTTCGAGTGCAGTTGCAATATGCGAGCTGAGTCAGCGTGTGTAATTGAATTATTTACCTACGGATGCTGTCTAGTTTCAATTAAGCGAAATAAAGACAAGCTAAAGTTCAAGTCTGAGCGTAAGAGCCCCTCATAAACATAAACGATTACATGGACAGCAGCAACAGAGGCAGCAGCGGAAAAACTGTCTCGAAAAACAATTGTCAGGGCTAATTTTCGATGCAGAAATCGTTGTCTGCCTCCAAAAAATAAATGCAGCCAGAAACTAAGCATTACAAACAAAAGCCAGAAAAGAATCCCGGCAGGAACAACACTATTAAGTCGGGGAAAACAATGGATTGTGAGGGGAAAAATCAAACAGCAAGCAGAACGTGAAAATCTTGCCCAGCTTGGGATGCTGGAGCAGGAGTAGGAGTAGGAGCAGGAGAACCCAGCTAGGATAGCAATTGTTATGCCAGGTCTTTGGATTTAGATTTGGCTCCAGCTCCAGCTCCATCGTAGTCTTTTTTGCCTGGAAGCAATTTAGCCGCGATCATGCATGAATCTTGATTAGATATTCAACGAGAAATAATTTGAAAATGATGACAGTTGGCGATAGGCGCGCGCTGCACTCGAAGCCCAAAGGAAGGAAGGATGGATGGTCACAGTGAGAGAAAGGGTTTTCTTTTTCTGGAAATAAAACTCTGGAAATTTACTTCAAATGTGACCTTTTAGAGCAATTTAACTATCTCTCTTTTTAAACAAGTTAATTTTACAATAATCAACATATTACATATTGATTAATAGTTAATGTCTTTAAACTATTTTTGCTGTGCATCCTCAACTCTAGCTGAAACTGCAAAGAAAGCAGGAGGCTATGCCCCGAAACGATCTATGTAGGTGAGGCAGGATGACCGAGTTTTCCCCCAAAAAAACTGATTCCTAATCAAAAGACAAAAAAACAGAAAGAGTTCTGTTGACTCTTGGCTGAGCGGGCGGTCTTGCCAGTCAGTACTTCGTGCCCGGTTCAGAGATTCCCTCCACTTGATACTGAGGAAACTGAAAAACCTGAATACCAACGAGGAGGAGTCCTCAAAAGCCAAGCTTCTCAATCCCAGTGACCGCGTGATCGATGGCAGGCAGCATCAGCATCAGTAAAGGAACGCGGCAAACAAGGCCGTCCAGAAAACGTTTCAATTCATTAGGCGGGCGACGAGTCTATTACGCCTGACCAGCCAAGTCTAGATATATATCCAAAGATATATAAGTCCTGCAGTACGGAGAACAACTCGTTACGGTTCAGACTTATAACAATCACAAATTATGGGTTGCATGCCCGGGGGGAAAATGATCTTGTAGATTTAACACTGATATTGCCGGGGCCAAAAACAGGTTCCATTTGTCTACTGGCCCGGGCATTCTTGGCCACAATGATTGATGGCAATTTTGACGAGCAGCAGTTGCAGTTGCAGTTGCAGTTGCCACTGACAGCAACAACAGCTAAAAGAGCTTCTATTCCTTTGGATTCTTCTCTGGGTAATCAACACCAAGAGTTCTCCTTGTGTCTGTAAGATTCTTTGCCAGCCCTTCTTTACACGACACAAATGTCAACAAAAGCGCGAAACAAATTTTTAAGCCAAAATACGACCCAAAACCAGTTTGGCTGAAATTCCGGGCCAAAATGAAGAAATTGCAGGCGGTAAAGCAGCGTCAGCAGAGCAACATGTGACAGCAGGAGTCAGTGGGTAAGGTATAAGACCTTGAATTACCTCGTAATAGGTTTAGAAAATTACAAAATCGTGATCATTAGGTAGTACTTTGAAGAGCAAGGCTTTCGTGGGATTATTCTAACCTAAATCTCTTTCAAAGTGGGTTTTTTAGTTGAATAACTGTTGCTCTTTAATCAGCATTCCATAAGTTCTTCAAATTTCAAATATCCCAATCGCAGAAATATTATCCTAACCAATATACCCCTTCTTATTTGGACAATACGAGGTACCACAAAACGAGACCTAGGGGGAGGAATCAAAGCGACTTGAATCTGGCCAAAATCTGAGGCTTCAGTGGAAGGCCTTCTTCCGGGTTCGTGATTTTTCCTTTGTCGCTGCTGCTGTTGCAGCAATTGTTGCTGCCGTTGCAGTTGTCATTGTTTTCCACACACACACACACACCCACACACACATTTCATGGCCAGCATGCGGAAATATTGGTGGAAAATTAATTTCAATCGTTTGTTAATCGAAAGATAACTTTATAAAGGCTGGAGGATCTGCGGGGCACACTGACAATTTAATTTGGCCCAGCTGCAGTGGTTTTTCGTTGCTTTGGCCCTGGTCCAGGATTAGGACCAAGACCAGGTTTTAGCTTTTTTGGCCCAAACGTGACTGCCAATTGACTTCCACACAATTTCGGTTTGGCACGCAAATATCGTGAGGCCGGGCTGGGGGCTACCTTCCGATTCAAGAGCTCTCCCCCAAGGAATGGTCACCAAGGAAACAACAAATACAAAACAAAAAAAACGAAAGTTTACATTGAAGTGGAAGCCGTGCCTCGTGTTCCTCTCTGGCAAACTACAACTTTCTGGGATGCCAAAAAATCCGCCAAAAGACCGACCGAATTGAAGTTGACATTTCTGGCCATGTTTTTCGTCGTGTCTGTAGGTTTTTTTTGTCTTTCTTCCTCTCTTATATATCGCGGAAGATGCCAATACTTGTATGGAAACTAGCTTGGCCAAGGAATCCAAAGTCTATTGACTGAGAATTGCTGAATAGCTCTAATTAGAATTGCTGTTGGTCGTGCTCCCCGTGGTTCAATGTCTTCACTTCGTCGGGCAATTCAATTGGAAATCTATAATTCCATTCCAGATAATGATTAATGATGATAGGTTCATTATACGCGTACTGTCATCGCCGTCATTCAATTAGAAATGCAGGGACAGGGAAATAACTATGCCAGAGTTGATCATTCAATTATATTTATGGGAAGGAGTGTCAGGTATTGAGAGCTATAAAAATATATGGGAAACCTCATTGATATATCTCTATTTGAAGAATTTATAAATAGTTTTTCATGTTCCCCAACTTTAATACAAAGTTCAATGCGAATATGAGAATGTTAACTTCGAATAAGCAAAGTTTGAATACTCTTGCAGTTTCAATAGATCATAACTAAGCCAAAAATGCATTAATTTTATTTCGGAAAGCTGTTCTGTGCTAGTTTTTATAGGGCTAACAAATCTGCATATTCAGTTTAAACATTTTTTGAATTTCAATTTTTGTCAAATTTTTAAAATTTTACTAATGTAAAATTTTAGC